CGCTGCATGGGATCGGTCAGAGTCGACTCGTAGTCAAGATCGCCAGCGTAAGGATTAAGGAACGAGCAGTCCCGGGGGGTGGGAGGCGGGCCGGCGCGTGCGCGAGGCGCGGGGTGGAGGACGGCGCCGGCACCGTGGCGACGAGAGCCGCACCAGGGGACAAGCCGCAGCACGCCATCGCCATGGATCGATCGGTGACGCACGATACTTGGTTCGCGCCACGTACGGATCGACTGCGAAGTTAGGGGCTACTCCGACGGGACGATCCAAATCGTCCACGCGATCAAAACGAACAAAAACGTCGGTCCGACGCGCGATCCAAAACCAAAAAGCCAGTGTTAGGCGCCGGCAGACCGGCCGAAACACTGGGCCGGTCGAGTCCCAGCCACACGATCAGCCTTTTGTCAACCTTTAGATCTGACTATTCTTCCGACTACCTCAGAACCATGGGGATTTCTCCGCCACAGAAAAAAAGAAGAGAGAGAGCAGCGCCCCGCTCGTCCTCGGCCGGCCGTGCTTGCCGGTCGCCCACGGGCGCCCTCGGCTGGTCGCGAGGGCACACCGCATCAGGTCGACGAGCACCACATCAGGTCGTCGTCATCCTAGGCGTGCAGCCGTCGTCGTTCCCGTGCTCGCTGGCTGCTCTTGCCTTCTGCAGTTGTTCGCTCGCCCTCGCCTGTTTGCGGTCGCCTCCTGTTGGAGCACCGCACCGCCCTCTCCGCTCCAAGCTACATAGCCGCCGCGCTGGTTGCCTCCTGTTGAAGCATCAGTTGGTAGTTTCATGGAGAAAAATGGATGTAGCCATGTAGGCCCGTAGTAGCAATAAATCGATACGGTGGCAGCAAAAATGCCTTGCCGTCGCCGTCGTCTCCAAGGATGAAAAAGCTTGGCCAATTAAAAACCTGCTTCGAGACTGGAGCTCTACGTTGTTTCATTTAGCTGGGAGAATATAGCCTTCTACCCGTTTTTGTTTTCCCTCTAGTTTGCTCCTTCATCTCCTTCCTCCTTGTACCTCTGATCTCTATGTAATTGGTACTTCTGGTAATATAAGGTTCAGGCAGACGTAAGCCCTCCATTGACGCGTCAAAAATAAATAAAACCATTGCAGCAGAACGGCCACCGGCCACAACAATGGCCGTCGAGCTCGGCAGCTCGTGTTGTACCTCACCCTCACTTTGCTGGTCGTAACAAAAAATGCCACCGGTTGTAGCAAAAAATCATGCAGGTTCCAGCAAAACATCACGCCCCCTGCAAAAATCAATGGCGACCACGGCGTGGTCTCGCAACAAATGGCGCTGGTAGCAAATATCTGCTCTGGTTCCAGCAAACAAAAAACGGTTGGTAGCAAAAAAAGAGAAATCAAACGCAATTCCATCAAACAAAAACATGGTGGTAGCAAAAATTGATGCTTGTTCCAGCAAATCAAAAGGCCGGTCGTAGCAAAAATACAGAGCTGAGCGCTGGTTCCAGCAAATCAAGAAAGCGGTGGTAGCAAAAAAATGGCACTGTTCCAGCAAACCACAAAAGGGATGGTAGCATACAATGAAAATTTGGATCTGGTTCAGCAAACTAAATCATCTGTGGAAGTAGAAAATTGCGCTGAATCCAGCATTTAGCCGATGTGTTTGTAGCACTCGCTGGCGAGCTTCACCCACCGTCGTCTGCATGTCGCAGCTTGCAGCAAAAAACACCAGTTGCCGGCAGCCCTTGGTCGCAGCTTCCATCTCCGGCGCTCGACGCCTAGCACCACCACCGCGGCCCGCTCACTCGCACCCCCGCGATCTGGCGCTGCTCGTAGCCCCATGACTGCGGCAGTGGGTTCCGCTGGCTGGAGGAGAAAAAGGGCATAGAGCGGCGTGGCTAGAGGATATGCTGCGGTGGAGGGCTCTCATCGGAGGGGCCTGACCGGAATACAGAGAAAAGAGAGGAGCGGAAGGGAGCGAGGGGATTGACAAGATGTGTCCTGTTTTGGGAAGAAGGAAAGCGGTGGAAAGGATAAGCAGGTGGGGCCGCTGGACACGCGTGAGGGAGGTGACCGGCCGAGAGTTCGGCCGTCTCGCCGTTTCCAAACGTTTTCCAAACCAAAACGTGTTCGCTTGGTGTTGACGTATCTTATGTCCAAATTTGCGCGTTCGCGTGGACATGAAGTGGACACGTCACGTGCCCTCTCGGTGTCTGTCGCGGCCCCATCTGTCGGCAGCCCAACTACTGCCCGCGGTTATATTAAACGTGACCACCTATCTCGGACCTGCCTGACACATCGCGGAGAGACTGAGTCGGCACATCACGAAGTCGCCACAGATGCCTTCGTAGTCGACGGAAACGTCTTCTCCCACTGAGCACACATCGCCGGAAGACCTGAAAATAAATTCAGGAAAATGCGAGGTCAGTGTCAAGTCTAGTACTTGAACCCTTGTGCCTCCTAATCAACCAACCATCGATTGGTTCACGCCTCTTTCATCTCTTGAAACAGGCATCCACCCAGCTTTATATATATGAAGCAACCACTCTGTACAAGAAGTTCAAGTGCATAAAAAATGAATAGTCTACTGCGGCATCAACACAAAGATGTCAAAAAACATATAAAAAAATACCACCAATTGGCCGGTATCTGAGGAGCCCTGTGACGAGGCAAGTCAGCGCGCGGCAACAGTCACAGCATCCATCATGAGATCAAATTGGTCGCAATCCCTCTGCCTAGACTGTGCCTCTTTCATTCTCTTTTTTGCGGGCAAGATTTGTATTAATCAAGGATCCAATGAATTACAATCCAGCTTATACAAGTCCACAAACTCCAGGGACCTTCAGTTCTAGGAAATTTATCTAAATAATCGGTAACCACATTTTGATTATGATTGATATGAATAACACTAGTCGTACAAAGAGATATCAAATGTTTGATCTCATTCATCAAGGAGGCAAATATAGACCTACTCGTGTCTTTTCCTTGAACATATTCACTACCACAAAAGAATCCATTTTCACGCACATGGACAACTCTGATGGATAGCAAGAAAAATACCCTCTACGCAAGCACATAGTTCGGCCTCAAATGCATCTCAACAAGAGAAGAGATCCCTGTACAAAGAGAAAATAATTTTTCCAAGACAATCTTGTAGAACCATGCCTGCTCCTGCTCTACCTTCCTCGGTCCATGATCCATCCATATTGAGTTTGACCCAACCCGCAAACGTGACTTTCTCTTCTTTTTCCCCTAACCCTAGATGGCTAGGGCAAACTCTTTCCTTTAGACTTCGCGGGCAAGGTCCTATATTCATCTCTCCTCTACTTGACACTCTGGCGGCCGGCTGCGCACAGGGGAATTCCGGTGCCTCCGCCCCGGTTAGCAGTTTAGGTTAGGATTTTTTTTCTTACTCCTCACAGGTGTGACACTCGGGCGGATGGCAACGCTTCTTCTTTGAGTTTGTCTTCCGAGCTTCATTCCTTCTCGAGTTCGTCTTTGGATGTAGTCGATGGAGCTCCGTCGTAGATTCCCGCCGGCTCTTTGGGGCAGTGAGTTTAGCGTTTCTCCTCATGTGACGAGATTTTGTGTCAATTGCTTCACATCTATGTAAGGGTTCAACTGCAACGACTGTGGCTCCAGAGTACTAGCCCTTATGAGCATGTGCACGAAGACTTCTCGACTGTCGTAGACAAGGTCAAGTCGGCTCATTCTGGCGACAATGGTAGTGGTTGTTCGGTGCTTTCAGAATCTTGATGTAAATTTTATTATGTTGAGATGTTTTGTACTTCTAGTAAACTTTTCTATTATTATGTTGAGGTGGTTGCTTCTCGACGATAATGTTGGTGGAGGTCTGGTTCGCGCTCTCTCGGCAGTGCGGGTGGTGTTGGACCACGGCTACGCGGCTTCGGCGGATTTGCTGCGGTGACGGCGGTGTGAGGCTTCAAGAACGGTGCTGCCCGGTACCTCATCGGAGTGGAGATGTGCAACATTGCGGATGAAAATCCTGTCCGGTTTTGGCCGGCCGACGTCGATGGCACCCGCGGGTGTCATTCCCCTCTCTGGAGGCGACGTCGAGTGTGTCGCCATCTCCCTCGTGCTTGGTGTTGGCAGTTGTCTCCGGACGAAAGCCTTGGTCCTCTAGAGTGGCATGATGGCGGCGTCTGCGACGTCGTTTCTCTGTTGGGAGCATCGTGCGAGGAGACTGAGTTTCCTGTTGGCGCTACTCCGGTGCTCGTCGTGGCCCTGACCGCTCTCCTCCGGCGCTATTTATGGTCGTCCGTCGCGGATGAATCCAAAGGAAGCTGGAGTTGCTGTTCTTTGGAGGTGTTCGATGTCGACCAAGACGCGGTGAGGTGTTTCGGTTTTGGGCAGGTTTTCCCGCGTTCTAGTTGTGTTGTCGTGTGTGGCTGTCCTGAGATAGTCGGATGTGGCGTGTCATGTACTAATTTTTTCTCCTTCTATAAAGCTATGGTACGTAATTTGCGTACCCTAAAAAAATATTTTTTGCAAAAAAGAAATCTCCACAAAAGATAATCAAGTTTTAGTTAATTTTACGGGAATTAGGAAATGGAAAAGGACAGGATCGCCCCTGGCAAAAATTACCCTAAAAAAACACGCTCTGCCCTGTTCGTCCCGTTCGCCCAGCTCCGAGTCCCCGTCCGACAGTCCCTCCGCCGCCGGAGCTCCTCCGCCACCCCCGCCGTTATCGCCGGTCCCCTGCCGCCCTCTTCCCTGCACGAGCCCGCCGTACCTTTCTGTACTCTCCTCCGCGCGGCCCCGTCCATCCTTCTCTTAGGCTCCCGAATCCTGATTCCTGAATCCTGTAAAGAGGGGAGAGGGGAGAGCAGTGAACCCGTCACTCCCGTCTTCCCCGCCGAGGCGGCGCGCCGTCACCGCTTCTCCGAGCAACCTTCACCCACACTCCTCCCAGACCTCCACAGCCCTATCCTTCATCGTATTCTCCACAAATCCTCTCAATCGAAGCTGCTTATTGCCATCACACCGCCGCCATTGTTTGTATCCATCCTCCCCTAGCATGGTGGCTCTACGGTGCGGTGGAAGCGCCGCCGCACACATGTCGGCGCATACAATAACGGCTCCTCGGAGCGGAGATGGTCGCAGCGCCATCCTTCCCATGCGTGCCGGGATCAGGGAGCTTCCCCTGAGGGCTTCCTTGTCACCGTCCTCGGTGTCTCCACGGACAGTGGTACAGTAACTATTTCCCCCCTGATTCACTTTGGTTAATTCCATGAGAATTACTACTCCGGATGACTCCTAAACTACGGCATTCACTCTTCAGCGCTGCTCCGTTTTTCGTCGTCGTCGCACGGGGGGACATTGCTTCCAGAATAGGGGAATGACTGAGGGATGGGAGGCGCTGAAGGCGGCGACGGCCGACATGTTCCGCCCCCTGCTCCTCAACATTTCCGACATGCGCTCTCTCAACACAGTTTACGACCTCGAAGACTACCAGATTGGCATGCTCTTTGGTGTGCTTCAGTTGTTCCCGCAGGCGATTCTGATATGCTGTCTCTGAACCCTGCTTTTGTTACTGAATACTGAGTTATCTTTGCCTGTAGGTGTTTTTGCTGGACTCGTTGGTGTTTACCAACTGTGGAGGGCAGCCCCTCCCATCTTCGTTGATGCTGCTCTTGGCTACATCATATATAAGCTCAGTGTCATATCATCGGAACTGCATCGGCTGCGCAAATCCAACAGTTTAATTAACCGACTGAAATTTGGTATTTACTCTTTTAACTGAACTAATGCTCTCTGCCTTCTCATGACTGACTCATTTTGTGGTGGGGGTGGGTGGGGAATAAGCTGATGCGTGACGCCATTCTTGGACCTATAACAACATTCATAAATGCAGCAATGTAACATCTTTCATGTAGTGTACTTTTGTGCTGCAAGTAAAATCCTAAAGTCAATTGTTATACATAATAAGTCTCCTAGAATCTCACAAATACTAATGTAGTTACATGTAGAAAGAAGCTGGATCATTGCATCAAGATCTCATGGTTACTCAACTTGACCCATTATGAAGCACCAGCAGAATGTTATCATTCGTAGCATGAATGGATTCCTGGTATTCCTGTAGTGAGCAAAAGTCAAACTGAAATAAATAAATATACTACTGTATTAATCTTTCTTGTTGAAGCTAGGTCTCCACATTTGAAGCTTACGGTCCAAAAAGTTCTATAGTAACTTCTGCTTATTTTGATTCTTCAAACAGTAGCCACTATAATGGAATATATCAGTATCCGATTAACTCAAATGTACAAACATTTTGAAATTATAATGCATATCCTATCATTGGCTCAAGTAGTGCCATTACTTTTGCATCTCCATCCTTACCTACTACTTCTATAGACAACACTTCAAGATCTTATATTTAATGAATAATTTCCAAACAACAAACTGATGGCTGTGTGGTATACTACCATAAGACAGCATGATTAAGAACTTGTGTCACCAGTTATTAGTTCTAAAAAAAAAGGGCAACCTGGTGCATGTAGCTCCCGCTTGCGCAGGGTCCAGGGAAGGGTCCGACCACTTTGGGTCTATAGTACGCAGCCTTTCCCTACATTTCTGTAAGAGGCTGTTTCCAGGACTTGAACCCATGACCTCATGGTCACAAGGCAGCAGCTTTACCACTGCGCCAAGGCTCCCCTTCTTCACCAGTTATTAGTTCTATAATCATCATTTGACCTTCTGGATTCCTTGTTCAACAGCTTTCCCACACAGAAAATAACAACAACATTAAGTATCAATTTTGACCTTTAATCGCGTCTATCGAAATTCAGAACAGATCTTCACCTTTGCAGATTGCATGCCATTTTGCTTTGTTGTTTGTAATGATTTAAGCTACCTTTTCTCATCATATGTGGTGCTTATTGAAAACTTTTCGATGCAGGGTTCTTGCTTTTCATGGCCCTTAAGGATTTCAAGAATAAATATGTACTTCTTGATATTATCAGGTCAGTATGCATTGTAAGACTACTTTGTTTGGTAATTAAGTGCACCAGCTTTAAATTGTTTGGTATCCTCTACTAATTGTGAACTGCCGTTATAGAACTAGTTAATGAGATAGTTCACAGTGATGGACTAAAATAGGAGAACACAAGTTTATCAGAAACAGTATTGACCACGAGAATCTAGGAGCTCTGGAAATATGTTGTTCTCCTCTGCCGCTTCTCCTTCCAAGACATAAGATTGCAGATTCTGGTTTATAAGAATGAGGATGAAAAGAACTTGAAATACATTAACCATTATATGATTTCTTCATCTGGTAGCTGCATCCCCTACAAGGCTGGTTTATGTTGGTTTGAAAAAGGATCACAACACAGGCACAAGAAACTGCCTGTATGTTAACATTATGTTGGCATAGTTGCAGTGGGAACAAGGATGTTGTCTCTGGAGCTAGGTCTTAAGGGCATGCTTTCATGTATGGCCAGTCCCTCGTGTAAAATATTTGCCGTCAAAATCCTACCATACAAAGCTAACCAGATGAGAGCTTTGTGTTAGCAATCGCTTCTCCTTGGCCATACATACTGTATCTGGCTCAAAACATAATATTCTGGTTGTCAAGCATTCATTGCTGTCACCAAATCCATGTTGGTACATCTACAGCGGTTTGATATAGGCACATTGATGAGAGGGCTTGAAGCTGCAACTGTTGAGCCTGGGTCATCTCATTTAAAAGTGTGACTTGTCTGTGTTGTTTGGTAAGAGACCTGCTACCGAAATATTTTTGCAGTTATACGTACCATCTAGTGGGAGACATAACTATCACATCCCATGCCGAATGCCTGTTCTGAAGCTAGTGTCATAATTAATGGCCAAAAGATAGAGGTACTCTTCATGATGGCAGAGAAAGGACCAAGGTGCTATAACATGTTTTTGAATTTTCATCTTCGATTTGTCTGATCACCTTAGTCAAATAGCACTGATGTGTTGAAGGCCTATTCCCGAATTTCGAATCAATTCAGAGAGCATCACAGTTCAGGCTGCATGGGGACCAAAAGAAGCACTGGGACTTTAGGAGGAAAATGGCTTGTTAGCACTTTGGCTTTGACCTATCATTGAATCATTGAAGCAGGCACTCATCTAGAGGAACAATGCCCCCATGGATTACCTGTTGTAGGAGCTTACACGAACATACATAGTACACTGTTCTTGTTAGTGGTAGCACATCCTTGGCAATTGTAATCCTTCCCCAGAAAGATATCTGTTTTCTGTTCTCCATTGGTATCTTATCTATTAGAGGCTGGTAATCACTGATCAGTTTGAATTGTGAATCATATTAGAAGTCCTCAGTAGATAAGAATTGCTACACCATGCAGCATCCAATCAAAGTCTTTATATTCAATTGTTCAGCTATCCCTAATATCAGTGTGATATACATTGGACCTAAGATTTAGTTAGAACTAACTTTAATGTTCCCTAAATAATTCGTAGCAATTATACAGCCTTTCTTTTACATTCTTTCATTGTTCTTACCCATGTTGCCATATTTTGATTTATCTAGTAGTGCTCTAACTAAAATGGTATTTCATGGTAGGTTGCCACTTTTCTTTCTGAACGTTGGTACATTCATGTTCGACGTGGCGGGATTGAAGAAGTATGGAAGGCGAGTTCTGATTTCTTTTGTTAATCTATTGAAAATGAGAGGCGGAATAAAAGAAATATTCAGGATTGTGTGGTATCCTGGCTACGTTTCTCCATATGATGATTCTTTTGGCCGGAGATGAGCCTCAGGGGTCGGTCTGTTATGAGACCTCTATGTGAAGACTTGATGTAAGGCAGGTTTAGAAGTTATGAACATTCTTGTTAAAAACTAAATGCCGGATGTAGGGGAGGTGTTATGTAAACCTGAAAATGAAATTCGAACACAAGGATAAATGCAGTATTTCTTTCACCGCATGTCAGTTTCATATCTTCCAAATACTGATCCACCGACTTCTCATGGACAGGGTGGTTTCCACATGATTATTTGCTTTTAAGTTTGATGAATGCATGACAATTCTTTGAAAACAAATGAACTGTTTTTTAATTTTGAGACGATAAACCTCATTTCAACTTATGTACTATTTGTACTATTTACATGATGTCATCTAAAGTTGATATTATTAAGAGGCTGTTCTGATGAAAAGTACGTTGATTTCAGGGCGCTAAATACAATGCAAAGTTACCTCGATTATATACAGTTTTTTGTTACAATGAAAAGGCACACACACGCATCATCACATGCCCTCTTTAGAAAACGCAAGCCAAATCTAGAAAATGCAAGCCAAACGAGGTAGCTCAACAATATGCCGCTCCGTAAAAGAATGGGAATCTGGGTACAACTCCTTGTTTTTTGTGAAGCTCTTCATGGGTGCTCTAAAAAACTCTAGAAGCTGGAGTTGACGGAAAATTATCCACCACTGCCACCAGCAAGGGGATACCAATCAAATAGTCGTTCTTGAAGCTGGAACTAGATGGAATCCAAACATTATCTTTGGTAAAGCCACAACTCTATGAAACTGCTCCTAAGTGAATTTGGTGAAGTGAAACTGATTTTGATGGAACGGAGATGTTCCATATAGGCCCTATAGCATGCCTAGTAGAAATACACCGATGTTAAATTCACATCACCGTCGCTTCAAACCGTGAAGTTGTGTACCCATGATCTTCTTCGACGAAAGGTCGTTTTTTCTCCAAAACTGTGCCGTTTTTGCTCTTAATTTTAAGACCTAGATACACTCCAACATCCAAAAAAATCAACGGGAAATGATACAAGAATCATTTAGTTTACACCTATCTAGAAGATTGATTATCACCACTTCTCATCGACCAATTCATGTGTACGTGGAAAAAGAAAATATCAGGTAGAAACCATGTTTACGATGAAAACTCAATGAAACCACATTTCAAAGTTTTCAAAGAAACTAAAAAAAGAATAATGCTAGCACAGTGATAAACATGTGGAATTTCAAGTTTGAACTCATGCTCATTTGTGAGGTATGTACACAAAATCAACTGAATATTAGTTTGAACTTGGCCATTTTACATGCTTACGAAACATCATCCTCCCAACATATTACATTTTGTTTCATCTATCTTTCGACTTCGCAATATTCAACCTCCCCTGTAGCTTTCACTCGTTTGCACTGTATTGTCGTTGCCATTGGATGTTTTGCCATCTCGAGGACCATTGGGAGAATCATTCTCGCGTATTTCTTCATACCCAGCACGTCGCATCCCACCGAAAAAAAATAGATCATGAAGATCGCTACCCTGCGTCACAGTTGATAGGATGCACGCATGTTAGCCAAACCTTCAAACAATTGCATAATCATTGACATGTCGACGATCCTAGAATGGACTAGGCTTTGTTTGTATAGCTATTCAAAATATTGAATCTGGGCAGAAAATTTCCTTAAGAATCTTGGATATCAAAGAAAATTATATTTGGACACATGTCGTGGTCTCTAATAACATACTGCAAAAAAATTCTTCAAATTTACGCTTTTTTCACATTTTTTCGATTTTAGATGCAGGGGACATGATTTACCCACTCCACACTTTGATAACAATTGGTCTAAGTTAGATTCAATCAAACCTATTATAGAGTTTATAAGAGTAGTTCTCAGCCTTATCCGACCAGGTACAATTTTACGAGGCAACATGCAACAAACCGGAGATGTGTAAATCAACAAAGAATGTGATCTCCTCGGAAAGGAAGAATGATCAACATTAACTAAACGAGTAACTTTTTTGGTGTTGACAGACATTATGGGCTAGTAGGAAGTCAAATTTATCTCTTACTACTAACCTGATATAATCACCAAGGGGCACAGTGCTTTTGCTACGATATTTGACAAGTAGAGCGATGATTATACCTGCGCAGATAACACGTATAATTGCAAAGGTTAGTAAAAAAATACTCCAGACTGTGGAATCCTGCGGTGAAGTACTTTAACTGTAAGGTAAAATAATGCAATTAGTTACAGAGATCCTCTGAAAACCTTACTTAGTTTAGACAGAACCTAAACCCTAAACCCTAACAAAGAAAACATAAGGTGGGGAGATGGACTCACCGAGTTTAATCCGGATTATCCAGTCGGGGGAGAAGCCCCGCCGCCGGACGTCGGCCGCGATGTCGCTGAGCTTGTAGAAGGCGTAGTACATGGCGATCTCGATGCACGTGGAGGGACTAAGCTTCCACAGTTGGTACATCCCCATACACGTCATGATGGCGCCGAAGGGCATGCCTATATGGAACTCCTGGGTGTCGAAGACGCTCTTGAGGCTCCTCAGGTCGCCGAGGAGCTCCCAGAGTGGGCGGACCACGCCCGTGACGGCGCCTATCACGGCGGCCTTCGCCTCCTTGGACTCGCGCCGGAACCGCTCGTTGATGGCGGCCCGGCTGAAGTCCGTGTTTTTGAACTCCTTGATCTCCCCGATGGTCAGCCCCGCGGGATACACGACGTCGTCGAGGTCGCCCCAGTCGTCCACGTCGTCGTGCGAGCCCTCGCCATGGAGGGTGGTGGGCGCGAGCTCGCGGGGCTCCTCGACGGCCGGGCCGCTCAGAACCAAGTCGTCGGTGCCATCGCTGACGACCATGGCCAGGACATCGTGATGGTCTTCGTCGTCCACGGCCTCGCCGATGCCCGTGGTGGGCGCGAGCTCGCGGGGCTCCTCGACGGCCGGGCCGCTCAGAACCAAGGCGTCGGTGCCATTGCTGAGGACCATGGCCACGACATCGTGATGATCTTCGTCGTCCACGTCCTCACCGATGTCCGTGGTGACCGCGCGCTCGCGGGGCTCCTCGACGGCCGGGCCGCCCAGAAGCAAATCGGCATCGGTTTCGTCTCTGTGGTCCATGTCCACGACATCGTAGTGGTGGTCGACGGCCGGATCGCTCCAAGGCGCGCTCTCGGGATCAGAATCGCAGCGGTGCACGCGCGGGCGCAGCGCCGACAGTGACATGGACAGGGAGCGCGGCGCCATTCGCGGTAGACGTACGCGAGCAGGGGCGCCGAGCGGGGAGAAGGGGGAGGCCGGACGCCGCCGTGGCGCGGTGCAAACCCTGGCGGCCGGCCAAAGACACGAGTATGCGCCTGCAGCCGGCGACGCCATCACGTACCTGTCGACCGGCTCGATCTGTCGACGGACTTTTTTTTAAGTGGTGCTGTGTCAATAAAAAAAAAAAGGACAAGTACGTGTATATGGTGAGGGGAGACTTGTCACGCCGTGTCGGTTATGGAAGCAACCCAGGACTCGTACGTATACGTACATGGTGAGGAGACTTGTCCTCGCCGTTATTTTGGCACCAAATCGTTTCCTAAAGCTTCCTGGACACTTGTCACGTTCCAAACTTTCTGGTAGTTTTTGCATGTGTGTACATTTTTTTTGAGTACTCATGTGTGTACAATTGTACTCCCTCCGGTTTCTACTCCACGTGTCAGATTTTTATATGAAGTCAAAGTTCGTAAAGCCAGCAGACTAACCCCCGCGTCGCCTTGTTCGGGCGGCACGGGGGAACCTAGCGCCGCCACCGCAAGGCCCTCCTCTCCCCACTCCCCCGCATCGCCGCCGCCGGAGGGGCCGCCCGCGAAGCCCGCGCGTGCCCCAGGGAAGGTGGCGGCGAGGCATTTTTTCCCCTTCCTGCGGCGATGCGCGAGCGCGCGGTGGCTGCGTCTTCCCGGAGCGCGCAGGCGGGGCGGAGCGTGGCGAGGTCGCGGGCGAGCGCACGGCGCCGGGGCTGGATGGCGCGGGGGTGTGTTGGTGCGGCGCGAGCAGGCGGTGATTCACGTCGGCGCGGCATGAATCTGGCTGCGTCGGCTGCGGGCGGCGGATGGGACGCCGGGGCGGCGGCCTTGGTCCGGGCTCCGTCGTGACTTGGGCGTGGACGGCGTGCGTGCGCGCGGCGGCGCTCGGTCCCAGATGCACGCGTGGGGCGCGGTTTGACGGCCGGACGCGGCAGCGGCTGGCGCGCGGCGGGCGTGGCGACCGGCTGGGCGTGGCGGCTGTGCTGCTCTGGAGCGCGAGGTGCGCTGCAGATGGAGGAGTTGCTCGTCTGCGCTGCTGCTCTCTTTGTGCGGCTTCGATCTGGATCTGGTGTGTGCTAGCTCTTCGATTTGGGTACTGCACTTCGCGTTGCGGCTTTGGTGGCTGCGGTGGTGGTGGTTGCCGTGGTGCTGCGGTGGTGGATGGCGGCTATGGCCAGGGGGCGGTGCGTGTCTGCTCATGGTGGATCGTGGGATCCCGTGGCAGATTGAGGTCGGCCTCGGCAGGTGGTGGTTGATGGGCGGCGGTCGGTGGGTGCAGGTGGCCATCTCCGGGAGAAATCCTTGCTCCGGTCTTCTTCGGAGCCGGTGACGGCGGCACCTGCGGGTGCCGCGATCTTTCTTGGAAGCGTCATCGTGGAGGTGCTCCTGCTTCTCCCCACAGCTTTGGCTCCGGAGGGAAACCTCAGATCCGCTGGATCGGGCGATGGAGGCGTCTTCGCGTCTTTCTCCTCCTTGGGGGCATTGTCTCGGAGCCGGCAACGACGGGGAGACCGGTGGATGGCGGCTTCTTCGCCGCATGGGTTGCGGCATCTTCGCCGCGTGGTTTGCGGCATCTTCGCCGCGTAGTTTGCTGAGGCGGCCTTTTCGGGGGCGCTGATTTCTATTTGGCAACGATGATGGCGTCGAGAGGAACTCTGGTCACGGCTCGGGCTTCGGTAGTCGGATCTTCCCGGCGTGTCCGATGTGCTCTTTAG